TTTTTTTTTTTTTTTTTTTTTTTTTTTTTTTTAAGTCCAGGGTGTTGTAGAGGTCAGTCAATGAGTGCACAGCCATGGGTGTCCTTATGAGACCCCATCCCAACCCATCCTCTCGTCATACTCCTAGCGCACCCCCTATCCCACTATCCTACCTCAGTGTAACCAGCACTCAGGACAGTTGCCCTGCGGCCCCTGCCCACGAGCAGGCAACTTGGACCGAACAGCAGTGATAGGCACCAGGGCTGATAGCCACCAGACAGTTCTATCCGAATGTCAGTAGGAACTGCACCCAGTGGCACCCTATCCAACCTACCTAAACCTACTGCAGGCACTAGACCCTACCAGTGACAGCCCTGGTGGAAGCGGAATTGGACGAGGGACTATTTGGGGCTGTGCCGAAAACTTGGTGTTGACGACATTCCCATCTTCCCCTCTTCTTCGTCTAACCCCCTTCTTCTTCGTCTGTGTATGGTTGGGGCTGGCGCAGTCTTCCTGTGTGAGCGCCAGACCCCCTTCACACCATGGAATGATGATGATGATGTATGTTCGGGGCTGCGTCGCACATTGATTGTTCGGATCATTGGTATCTAAGTCTTCCGCTACGCTATCTTGTACTTTGTATTGAGAGGTCGGTTCTTGTTCTGGTCTACACCGTTACAGTATGCAACACCAACCTACCTGAACCTACTGCAGGCACTAGAGTCACTGGACCCCACCAGTGACTAGCTCCCTAGTCTGTTTTTTTTGTGTGTATATTATGTGAATCTGTGTAGACAGTATTGGGTGTGGAATATGTGTATATATGGTTGTATGCTGCTCCCCACCATGGAGCATCTGCGAAGTGAGTAGTAAGTACTGGTGAGAGGTGCTCGTATTTACCCCCCTGCCGGGTGCGGTACCGGCCTACCCGCTACTTGAGTGCTTTTTCCCCGTTGCAACCCTTCAAAGCCACTGCCACAGGTAAGTACCGGCCCTGAGGGCCCAACGAACGAACAAGTGCCCTGGTGGGCCACACACGCACACTCATACCAACCAGCACACAGACAGGCACAGTCACACACACGCAAGCCAACGAGCACTCAGACAGACATGCAGTCCAGCAAGCACACACAAACACAGACTTAGCAGGCGGGAACTCAGTAGGCATTCAGTCTATGAGCAAAATTCAGAAATCATCTGTGTGTTTCAGTCCATGTTTGGACGGGTTATCACACCTGTGTGTTTTGAACCCACGACCTGTGTTTTAGTAGTGACTGTGTTTTGTCATAGGTCCCTGTAGGCTGTAGTTGTAGGGATTCGATCTGTAGACCTGTCAAGTAGGGGTTACAGCTGCGTAGAGGTCGAAACTGCTAGGCTAGAGGTCTGTAGGTAAGTTGCAGGTCCAGCTGCGTCGAGTAGACAGTGCGGCCCCATTGAGTCGGCCGTGCAACCCCGTGCAGTCAGCGGTACTGGTCCAGTCAGTCGCAGTTCAGTCAAGCAAGTACCGTGTGCGGCGTGTGGGACTGTGTGCACCGAGGGCATGGAGGAAAGGGGCAGACCAGCGACCAACAGAAGTATAAATCAAGAGGCAGCGTCCAACAACTTTCATTCGCTGCGTAAGCCATGCGGAAGCGCTGTCTCAAGCATCTTGTGCGAGGTGGTCTGCAGAGCGCCCGAAGTCGAAGTGGGCTGGAAGAAGTTAGCATAGCTATAGTTAGTGGTTGAGCGGCCATAGCCGCTGTAGGTTACAGAGAGGTGTTAGTGTGTGAAGTGTGATACAAAGTGTGTGTGGGGGGTATTCAGGGTGATCCAGAGTTGAGTGAGAGCAAACACTGGTGTTGGAAACAGTATCGGGAGTTGGGATGTACAGGCGCTGATGCGCCATAGCCTGTTGAAGCAAATTTGCGCCTGAACTGTGTTCTCGAGTTCCATATCTCTGAGTTTTGAGTGGGCGTTGTGCACCAGTGTGAATCGCCATCTCTTTGCATGTATGTGAAGCGAAGAAGAACCTCCTGCTCATGAGACAGGTGCTCTAACCAGCTGATCTCTCTCTCTCTCTCTCTCTCTCTCTCTCTCTCTCTCTCTCTCTCTCTCTCTCTCTCTCTGTGTGTGTGTGTGTGTGTGTGTGTGTGTGTGT